GAGTCAAATAAATTGGAAAGTTTGTCTTATATGTGGTAGTGTTTGGCTTCCTCTTATAAATCTTCTATTGATGATTTAATGAAAGTGTTATTGATCCAAATATATATATATATATATATATATATAGAGAGAGAGAGAGAGAGAGAGAGTCAAATAAATTGGAAAGTTTGTCTTATATGTGGTAGTCTTGCAATTTTCGAATACCATAGAGGCAATTACAAGTCAATTACATTGATAAAAAAAAACAAGTCAATTACATAAGAAGGTTTATCTTTATGTGGCATTTCCTGTAATTTCAAAGGAAAAAAGGCAAAAGTTACTGTTAGATTCTATTTCTTGCATCCTCAGGCTTTCCTTTGTACACATTTCAGCTTAATATATTTATATAGATACTTAAATACTTGTGGCTAATCAAATCTCTTTCTCTCTCTGTACACACAATGACTTGTCAAATAGGGACCTGTAATGGTAGGTTGAAAAGCATGAGAAGACAGGTTCAAGTGCAAGAGCAGCCCCTTGGTGCAAAAACATGTCAAAGGTTAGGTCTCTATCCAGTCTGTCCCTTCCTAGACCCCAGATAGTTAGGACCAACATTAGGTAACAGCCTTTTTTTAGTGATTTGTGAAATCTTTAGCATGCGTAGTACAGTGGGACAAATAAGGGTCATCAAAATATTATTAGGGCGTGTCACCATTGAACTATGGGATCATGGTGCTGCAAATTGACTGGTTTGGACTTCTGTTGATCCTTCACATGACATTTGTAAATATGTTGAGCTCATTTTATTCGTATTCCAGGTCCATCACATCTGTGTTGTAAAGAGGATGATGCATAGACTGTAAAATAGTTATTACATGGCTCAATTTGGAAATAGAACCACTTGGACATTCAAATTTATGGTAAGGGAAGCCAAAATGTTGGTCCCAGGATTGGCTAATTCCCTTGCTGATAGTTTAGCAAGAATGGAGTCAATTGTCAAGGGCTCATTTGGGAAATGCTTGAGCCAGGGGTTCAAGTGTAACCGGTTATATTTTTGTACAAATTTCTGTGGTAGCTGTCTTTGTACCTTCCCTGCTATCTCTTTTGGACAGTTAGGATTCTTTACATATTAATAAAATTCTGTTATTCAAAAAAAAAAAGGGGAAAGAAAGAAAAAAGAAGATGATTCATAGACATACTTTAAGCATTCAGTTTTAGAATCTTATCAAAGATGTAAACATGCTTCTTGGGATCACAGAAGTCCAAGATATGGTCCCATTATACTGCCCTTAAGAAAATCTGAAAAAGAAATTTACCTACTACCCCCAATTTGTATTGACATTATTCATCTTATTGACTTATCCATAGCTTATCAAATTCTATTCAATGCTGCTTTCAATGACAATAAGCAACTCTACCATTTCAAAGCACTCTACCAGTTCAGGCATCAATTTAGACAAGATTTCTTACCTTGTCATTTTGTTTTAGAAAGCATTCTGCAGGACAAACTTGCTCTGATATCAGTAAATGAGGTAGGTCAACCAAACTAAAGTTTCATTTTTCAAAGTGTGGTGTGGTTGCAATAAAAATCAAGATGCAAAGAATCTTTACTGGTGAAAATCCAGCTAGTCTACTAGATTCCGAACAGATTCAATAAGTTGCTGTTGGCTAACGTGGGGAACGAAGGCTGTACAGAACAACCAAGGATTAAATATGGATTGTGAAAATATAAATGAGACTCAAAATTAGATTTAGAGTTGACTAGTGAATTTTTTAGAAGATTTTTATTGTTGTAATAAAAAATTGAGTTGAAGAATCTCTGCTTATGAAAATTCAACTAATCTATTGGATGTCCAATGTATTCAATAAGCTGCTGTTGGCTAGTATGGGGAATAAAGGCTATACAGAACAACCGAGGACTGAACATTGAATGAAATAAATAGAAATAAGACTTAGAAATAAATGTTGAGTTAGCTAGTGAATCTTAGGTGGATTCGGCAGCAGCTCAGTACTACTAGTCTACTAGAGATGCTAAAAAAAGGTTATTTCCAACCTGGGGGGGGGGTCTGTTAATCCAAAAAATGAAGATGACTTGACTATCTGCCACATCAGATTTACCCATAACAGCTAAAAACACACCAGATTACAACTTACAATTTATAGGTGTTCAAGAGCATAATGATTGATAAGGTCAACTTTTAAGTTTCAACTCATCATATTTTTCATAATGGGACTCGTGGAATGTTAACTCTCGGAATCATTATGTATAGTAAATGCAAGGACATGGTTCAAAGGTCTTTAATTTAGTTTAATTACTGCATGCTTATTATCATGCTCATAATTTTTTTCTTAGAAACACAAGGAAAATATTACAATAATACTCTTATTCGTACTCTGTGAGTTGTTGGTTCATTTCTAGGATTTAAATGCAGCCATTTGTTGTGGAGAAGTATAACCGGCCCATGCCAAAGCTGCGGAATACAAAGCCAGACTCTGGTCGTTACGAGGAAAGGCCAGTTCCTGTGGGGACATTGAATGTGGCTCAGCTCCGACAGATCCTTCTCCTGCATCAAGGCAAAGCTGATGACCATGAGGGGCCCATGGATGCACACCAGATTGCTGAGAAGTTCCGAGTTGATGTTGTGCAGGTTCAGAGGATCTTGCAGTTTGTGTCGATCCCTCCAGAAGACAACAGAAAAACGAAAGACAAGCTCTGATGTTTTACCATGTTAGCTAACCTTCCTCTGTGTTGACAGTGATCCTCTCAGAGAGCCCCAGTGAGCCGGTGAGGAGTGTGTTTTCAACTGGTTCAGTTGCTGGTATGTTTTTCCCCCAAAAATGTAGCAAAAGATGCACAGAATTCCCTCTCGTCAGGGGATATGAAAGTAGTGAGCTAAGAGTTTTGAACTGCGTCTTGGACATGTGATCTGGGACCCAAAAACGGTAGGAATCATAATCAATAAATGAGATTTATCTGTTCGAATAGAAACTGGGTGTGTGTCACTTTAACTTCTGGTATTAGGGTGATCATCATTATCATAGCGGTGGCGGTGGTGGCGGAAACTGGAAACATTCTGTCTGTTATTTTCCTTCTGAGGGCTGCATATTGTTAACCTAAGGATACACAACACTGCCCCATCAAGGCCATAATCTATTATGGAAGGATCAATATAGCTGAAGCTGGCCACGCTTGCGATCATGGATGGAAGCGATCAATTGGCAATCATTTAGCAGTGGGATAGGGGTGCAAATGGATCATGATCAGATCTGAGATACGATCCTATCTGGTTGAATTCGGATCACCCCTGTTCGGGTCAGATGATAGGATCCAATCAGATTCGATCCTTCTATCCGATCGAGAAGTACCAATCCGATATATTTTATATATTTATAAGTATATCATACATATATATGTTATTTATTTATTTATAAATATATTGTTTATATTGTATTTTTTATAAAATTGTTATATTATTTGTTTTTTATAAAAACATGTATATGTGAAGAAAATAATTAAAAAATGCTTGTATTTTTTGTTTTTTCTTTAGTTAAATTGGTATATTTTATTTTTTAATGATTTATTAATTTTTAAAGAAAACAAATAGGATCGGATCAGATTTTAAGATCCAATTTATCGATAAGATTCAAGTTCAAATCAAGGCTTATGAGATCAGATCGGATCTTTGGATCAGATCCGATCTAATATGAATAGTGTCATATTGGATTTGGATATGCCTGATTCGAATCTGGTCCGATCCATTTGCATCCTCAGGAATCTTTTGGGAGTCCAAAGTTGGACGTTGTTGCCTAGAAACAAAGAGAAGGCTTTGGTGAATAATCCAACACAATATGGAATCCCATGAAGCTCTAATCTCCTAAACCAAAAATTATTACAATACTTTGAGAGAACGGCATCCAGCCACACATGGAAAACATCTCCCTATGAATACAGGGGAAATTCAGAATGTGGCTACTCTCTAGATGACATGCTATTAGGATGTTTACATAATTTTTGGTTTTAGAAATCCCCGTCTTGACAAAAAGTTCTCATCTATCCATTGAATTAGTAGCATAGCAGTCATTATTGTGTAGAGCAGTCAAGAAGGCAGTGTTGTATTCTGAGGATCAAAGGAAGCGGGATTTTATATTAAAAAAAAAAAAGAGGCGGGAGAGTCTGTGACAGGAAAGTCACAATAAGGTTGGAATGGAAAACTTATCTGAAAGTGATATATTCTAGGGAAAATTCCTCATTAGTATCCTGTACTTTGGGTCTAGTGTTACTTTGGTTTCCGAACTTTAAGATGTGACAATTCAGTATTTAAATTTTTAAAACGTATCAATTCAGTACCTACCGTTAATCAGCCGTTAAGTGGTATGTCTTTCAAGTGTCATCTACTTTTCTTTATCAATCATCCAAATGTTGATAAAAAAATTAACAATCTCAAATCCTTGCTTTTTCTATTTAAGGAAGCTGGGTCACATTTTAGTAGGCATTTTGGACCCCAACTTTCTTGAATAAAAGAGGCAAGGATTTAAGACTGTTAATTTTTTGTCAATGTTTGGATGATTGATAAAGAAAATTAGATGACATTTAAAAGGCATTTGTGTCTTTTCAAAGGCATTTAATGGCAGGTTAACAGTAAGTATTGGATTGACACGTTTTGAAAGTTTAGGTACTGAATTGTTGTATTTTAAAGTTCGGGGACCAAAGTGGTACTAGGCCCAAAGTAAAGGGTACTAATAAGATATTTGACAGTGAGAGGATCCGGTTAACTGCCCAAAGAACCTAAGAATAGGTCCAGTGAGTGAAAAAAAAAAGAGTGAGAAAGTAGATTGAGATAGTTTAGTCTAGAACAGATGTTAGAAAAAGTGATTTGTTACAAATTGAAGGGGCTACAAGAACAAGAGCTGTGGGCAGACTAAGAAGGATTTTTTTTTTGGTTGAATTAATAAGAAACTCTTCAAGAACATATACTTTAAGGATGGATATGGCACTACATAACGGGAATGGCAAAACTAATTCATGTAGCTGACCCTATATAATTGGGACAAGGCTTAGATGATGATGAGTAGGAAGCCCTTTGTTTTGCCATCACAACAATGCAATTTATGCTCATGGTGGAAGGTTGTTTACTCTAAATGCACAAGCACAAGCGCTACTGCGCTAGAATCAGCTTGACCGAGATGCATGAAACAAGATTGCTACAGGATTGCTGGTTTTCACCCCACCACCTAAATCTTGAATGAAATTTCTTTTTATTTTTTCCCTTCCAACCTAAATTGCATTAGGTTAGGATTTCAATTGTTCCCTAGAGAAACCAAATGCTGTATATGATTATAGATCAAATTTGGTGTAAATGCACGGGTATGTAAACAGGCTGTGTAAATTTTAGTTTACTTTTGCTTTAGATTTGACTTGTTTGTTTGTTAAAAGTAAAATAGGAACTAAAATGTTGTAGTCCTAATCCCCCATCATATGGAAGAAAATGGAGGTAGGAGGATGTGATCCCTACTTTCTATGAAAGAGAATTGAGGTAGGAAGAAGGTGGTACAAATTTTTCAGATGCAAAATTTATATTAGTGAGTGCAAATGAGACAAGTTCAACTTTATTAGGTAGGAATGCAAATTGTGGTTACAAAAATATGAAAAACTGAACCAGGTACAAAATTTGTATAGATTGCATTACACCGAAAGCAGCCAAAATACAAATTTCTCTTCATTTACAAAAATGAACCACAAATCATAAAGACGGTCATTTCTCACCATGCCACAAGGCCCACAACTGCTATTTAAATCACTGGATCATTGTTGTAATATTACATATTACGTTTGTTTACACTGAACAAAAAAAATGGCGATGATTGCTATTAGATCACTGGATTATTGAATTGTAATATTACGTTGCTTTCACTGAACAGAAAGAACGGCGAAATTGAATTTATGTAACCGATCCCATATAGTTGGGACTGTAAAAAACAAATTACTGGATGTTGAGTGCTGAATTTGAAACATCGACCACATGACACTACAGCCACATATTGGGAATCTTTTCATGAATTATAATATAAAATATGAAAAAGGGTAAGTTTGTTTTTTTTTATTAAAAAGTGACATTATTAAAGGGACAGATTTGGATATCCAACATCCTTAACAAATTCATATTCAAATACATGTTTGCGAGATCTAATCAAATATTCGGATGGGGTTGAATCTACCATTTATACTATCAGATTAGATTCAGATATGCCATTAATTGAATCTGATCCAATCCATTTGCATCCTTACGTGCATTTTAGTGGGTGGTAAATTTTTTATGTAACCATACGTAGGATGAGCATTCTGTTAAAACCAAAAAAACTGACTTTAAGTCTATTTGGTAATGATTCTCAAGGGCCAATTATTTTTGCATTGGAGTTCTTTTACAATGCCATGATGTATGCCAAGTCATCATCAAAAAAGCAATATCAGTTGGAAATCAAAGAATTACCAAAAATAGTGATCCCTAAAACGGTCAATTTTAAAAATCAATTTTTTATCAATTTCTCAAAAATCACCAAAATCGATCAACCAAATATAAATTTCAAGGCTGATTCCTCTAATGCTGACATGGCTTGGCAATGAAATAAAGTGGTTTTGTCCCAGGGAGTTAACATGTCAGTATTTATCTTAAATTTAAAAATATTAGGGAACTTGTGTAAAACCCACCATTCCTTTTTATGAATTCTCTTAAACTCACCATAACATTTCAAAATGTCCAAAACTCGCCATGTCAATGAGACAACGGTAACTTGACTAATGGACGTCACTAATTCACTATTTTACCCTTTCTTATTTTCATACTTCATACTTCCAAACTAGGCTTAAACAGTTATAGATTTTAGTCTATGTAGTATGAAGTAAAAACAAAATTTGTTGATTTGCAAAGTATAATATATTTATTTGAATGAGAAAATGTTCAAGTCATGGTCCTACCACAATGCCTCTCCTAATTGTAATCTTAACGCTTAGATATTAGAACTTCAATCCAACTTACTAACTGGAGAAGAGAGACGGAAAAGAAAAGCCACCCCCAAGAGTTTACTTGTTAAATTATAAAGAGTAAAAGAGAAGAGGATAGTTCACTCCCAAGGAAAGAACTATGGAGAACTTAATTGAATTGATACACTAATTCACTGGCTGAAATCTTTGGAGCTATTTTCAGATTATTCCATGGTTGACATTTTGAGAAAGTGGAAATAAATAGCTACCTTGGCCCAATGTAAGAAGACCTCTAGACCTTCTTGGTCCCCCCCTCCTCTCCTTCAGGATTCATAAAACTGAATTTTGATGGTAATAGCTTAAGGAATCATGGGCCTTCTAGGATTGGGGGAGTTTTTAGGAATGAGGGTGGGATTATTAATGCCTTATTCTCTGGCCTAATTGGAGAGAGTAACTCTATTAGGGCTGAGATTTTAGCAATTCTGGAAGGAATCCAAAGAGCAAGAGACTTAAACATTCGATACATGGTCATTGAAGGGGACTCGGAGGTGGTGATTAGGTGGCTGATGGTTTGTGGAGCTACGAAAAGAAAAAATTTAAATGGTTGAGTAGGGATATTGAGGTGAAGTACAGTTGGGTGAAAAGAAGCGCCAACTCAATGGCTGATGGGTTAGCCAAGCAAGGGGCGCTTAAGGAATCTATTTTTTGGGATAATTTTTAGCTTGCTTTTTTGTTCTCTGTTGTGGGGGAGTTAAGATATTTTACCTCCTCTTTCTTGCACTTAAAGTTTCACAATTTTTATTATCTAATAAAGCATCTTGTTATTGATAAAAAAAAAAGTGGTTTGTAGAATTCAATTGCCACTTTAACAGTGATTCTAAACAATTGTCTTTCTAAAATGAGAATGTAAATATAATTCACATTCATGAATTCACTAAACCGGTTACAGATTGTTTTGATTGTCTACCTCATGTCACAATACAGAATTCAATTTGTAAATTTTTTGCTTCTAGGTACTCCATATTTAGTTCCTTTCTCGCATATTTAGTTTTTGTATATATGATCATACCTTTGGGTGCTCCATGTTGGATATTTTTGCAAGCCTAACTATTATGAAAAGCAATTTTGGCAAGTCAATCTAACTGTTGTCTAGTATCTTTATTTCTTACCATCTGAGCAGGACCAAATTCATATTAGCAGAGAAAGCCACTGGTGTCACGTTTGATGATTTTGTTGGACAGAAATACATAAAAAAGGAATTACAGGAGATTGTGGGAATACTAAAGAATGATGAAGGATTTCAAAACAAAGGCATCTATTGCCCAAAAGCTGTTCTCCATGGGCCTCCCAGGACTAGTAAAACACTGTTGACTAAAGCTATTGCTGGAAAAGCAGGACTTACTTTTTTTTTAACAGCTAATGGCACTGATTTTGTAGAGGTGATGGGTTCTATAATGATGAAATGAGTGAGGGAGGGATAAGAACATAGAGAAGTAATGTCCTGTATGAAGAAGCAAGGAAGTATAGTGGTGCCTCTTCTTGATGTCTCTAATTAAGCAAAAATCAGATTTTTTCGAGTAACCTAATTAAGCAAAAATCATATTTTTTCGAGTGCCCTAATTAAACAAAAATCAGATTTTTTCAAGTGCCCTAATTAAGCAAAAAACATATTTTTTTCAAGTGCCCTAATTAAGCAAAAATCAGATTTTTTTCAAGTGCCCTGTTTAAGCAAAAATGAAAAAAAAAATAAAGGTGAAATACCTAGTAAAAGGTTTCTTGGACATTGAGAACAAGAAAGACTCTTAGGGAGCGGGAATCTTATATATGAAATAGGATTGGGCGCTTAAGGGAATTTCAGTAAAAAAAAATATTTAACAAGTTTACTCACAATTCAGGGGCAGTTTGATAATGAAACTTGCATTTAGGTTGATGAGGACAATTTGGGTCAATGACCTTTAACATTGTTCCAACAGATGGTGAGTTTTAAAAAATAAAATCTCGCTGACATAAATTTTTGACGTTTTGAAAAGTTATAGTGAGCCTATGAGAATTCGTAAAAAGTGATTGTGGTTTTAGACAATTTCCCAAAATATTAAGGTTTTCATTTGATAGCCCAGTAGCCCACGTGCTCATTTTCTATTGGCCGGTCGCAGCAGACATGAAACTCTGGCCTAATGCTCTTCCAAGTTATTATCCGCACAAAATATAAGAAACGGAGTGAATATGACTTGTTAGACGTTCTGCAACTCTCCATTATAGACTGTGTAACATGACCGACTCAATTCTCTTCTCAGGTCTAAAGACCGAAATCTATTCAGAGAAGAAACTATCCTAATCGATATGCTGTGCATCACACTACGACGTAGTATACAATCAGTGCCTCCGATCATGCCACCTTCTGCCCCCATGCCTACAGTCCCGATTCAGGCGCCCTGAGCTCCGGTGCCTTGACCAATCGGGCCTAGAATTGCGGCCATAATCCCTTCTGGCCTCAGTGAAGTTCCATCCCGACCGGTATTCTGGGGACCTCATGGGGCTCCTCTCTGGACTCCACATTTCAAGCTCCGGCTCAGAAGTGAACTCTTTTGTCTCCCAACGTGTCGCAGACAACAATGGAGGCTGCCCAAGAAACGCATTATAATTGCTTTGGTTAGTATGGGCAATGGAATTGGATGCAGACCCCTGTCTATCCATTGTCGAGTCCGAGAAGGGGCCCTGTTTTCCAGAGTTAGACGCATTGAGTGGCATGGTGGGGTATGAAGGTGAAAAGATCGGAGGCTCTGGTAGTAGAGGCGGCTGTGGCCGTGTCGGAGTCGGCAACAGAGGTGGCAACTGAGGCACCGAAACGAGTTGCCTCTCATTTGGTGGGTTCAAAACAATTGATACGGTGGCAGAGTTTAGGTTGTGCATTTGTCCAATACTTGATGTTTCCGGCCGCAGAAGTGGACTGGATGCGTGGAGGTTTTGTGAAGGGGGGCAAGTAACGGGAATGTGAGTCATGGGTAACAGAGGACTGGACAGTAGTCGTTGGTTAGGGGAGGGATTCATTGCTGTCAGTTGATTCTCGGGCATTCCAGCAGCCAGGGTTTGTTGCGATGAGCTTGGCTGCAATGCTGGTAGAAGCTGTTGGGATAATTGAGTGATGACAGTTGGTATTTGTGATGTGATGACGGTTGTTGGAAGTTGGGGTCTCACAGAAGTTGTAGCAGGAGGGTTCTCCAGCAAAGAAACAGTCGCGGGAACTGCTGGGAAACCAGAACCTCCTCCTTTGGTAGCTGGAACAGGTGGCTGCAACAAACTCTTGGTGCCTTCTGATCTCCATGCGCTCTGAAAAAAAACAAAGGAAACCATTGTAAAACAAGCAAAAAAGAAGCAAGAAAATTACAGACAATCAACCTTTGATTGCATCTGAAATATGCAGATACTGTGACAAGAATTTAAATCACATACCATTCTGCGTTCTGAGGGAGGAGTCGGGGAAGGAAGAGATGTGATTTCCAGCTTCTGTTCGGCTTTTCCACTAGACCCATTTAAGCCCCCGGGTAGACCAATTCCACTAGCCTTGATCATATCGAGAAGTTTTACTGTTTCTTCACTCGTTAAATTGCCACATTGGCCAGATGTCAAGGCAAAAACGAGTTCCGGGTTCTTGAGTAGCACAGCAAGCAACTCAAGGTCCGGTTCTGGAGCACTGCCATTGTTGGTACCGACTGGTGTGGTAGCAGATTTATCTCCATTATTTTGACAGGGTGAAGGCAATGACGCTGCATCATCATCTGGTAACTGTTCGATTGGGATTTCTGGGGTCAATGTATCATCATAGTCTATCTCGAGGTCCCATGGTTCCTTGGGATTGATTGGGATATCTTGAATATTGTGGTAAAAGGTTTCCTTCTCCCGTCGTAATCTCTCTGTCTGAATTTCAACTTCTTTGCTCTTTTCCCCTGCGCCAATTCCCCACAGACCGTTGATCCTCAACTCTGCAGAAAGAGAAAGCAAATAAAGGCTGAATTCCTTGAAAAATATTATCTGAATTCAGGTTAAACAGATATATCAGAGACAAAAAACACAAAATAAGAACCGCATCGCCTAAGTAAAAATATGCGTCTCCACACCGACAGCCTTTCTTGAAATTCAGAAAATGCTTTCCCAAAATAAAAGTATCACAGAAAACACATCCAGGTAGCAGCATTCATCGCAATCAAGGCTGATGAAGCAGAAACCATAGGATTGGAAAGCACAGAAACCCCAAAAGAGGAGCAAAAATGCATCTCCAATGAATTTCAAAAAGGCAGAATTACACGAAAATGATCATATCACTTAACCTTCCAAGCGCCCACCTATTCTTCGGTTCATTCAAATTTTAGTACCGACCAGATATCATGCCCATTAATGTAACAAGTGATTATATTTGAATTAGTAGACGTTGTAACTGTATCTAAGAGGCCACCATTAATAAAGCATGAATTCTCCACTTGGCAATTGGAATATCCTCCTAGAGCTCCCAGGACCCCATCTAACATATAATTCGACAGAATTAGATTTCAACCTAATCGGGTGAAGTCATTCTTCATAATAGTCACCCTCAAATCCCCGCCTTGTCGTGCCAAATGCTAAAATAGGAGGAAGACCTGAAAAAATCTTTGTGCTAGTAAATTGTTGACCCTTGGCCAGCTGATACCACAGAAAAATGATAACCGATGTCCAAAGATAATTCTTGCAGAAGACATTTTTGCACGATGGTTGTTCATTTTATAACCAGGACTAGCGAAGAAAACCCGAGTCACAACAATCATATGCCATGGCTTTATCTTCTAAACCACCTGTTATGACTGCATCTCATAATGCAGAGGGCCTCAAACCCACAATAAATTGCTATCGTTTACAGATCTATTGCACATATAAACTGGCTCAATTTAGACCATCAAGCAGATGATTCAACAAACAAATTGTCGTCCAAGTTAAATGATTCTGACATTCATCCATCCTATTAATTTGATGGTCAAAACCTATGCTATGCCAAAAGAAAAGACAATTAAATCATGACCTTTGCTGAATGTGTTAGAAGGCCTCTATGATCAGGGATACCCAGAGTTCTTTACATGGAACCCATGCATTCCTTCCAGTTCTTATATAGCCATTTATGGGCAATGGTATACCCTCTAATCCTTATTTTCCAACGAGACATTTACATATACCCATTGGAAAAATAAAGTTACCTAATCTTTGTGACCAGGCATTAGCAAAATTGTACTTTCTTCATCTTTTACATGCTAACAACTCACTCCACCTCGGGTCTGACTTTTAGGTTTCAAATTACAAATGAATGTGAAATGGGAAAAGAATAACAGCTTTTGAAATGTTCTCCAATATATAACCCTGAATTACCTTTTGATGTATTCAGAAATTATTAATTCTTAAAGTTTGCACAACTTCTTAATGGGAAGATATATCTCAAAAGACTCAGCTTTCCTGCACCAAGAATAGATTTGGCAAAAAGTAAATGAAATCGACCAAATAAAAAAATACCTGGTGGTGTCTGCCATGGAATTTGACCCCTCTTCAAACTCTCCTCAGGGGGTACCCGGAGTTCCAAGCTTGGCTTTAAATCAACTGGAGTTTTCAACATAATAGGAGAATTTTTTGAGCCAAGTACAGTAGATTTAGTGTCTTCCTCAACTTTTGATCTAATGGGAGTTTTATCTATTGACTGTGAATTGCTGGTCTGAGAAGCAGAAGATTTGACTGGATCTTCAGTCCTCTGTAGGAGGCTGTGTTTGGAAGGTGAACCAGTCTTGCCATATTTGCTTTGCAAGAATGTAGCCCGCATTTTTGCTTTTTGGATATCATCAGCTGACATCGGACGGCCTTGTATTGCAGTCACAACTTTTGCACCCTGCTGGTTTCTTCCACCTGTTTTTTGACCTGGCTGTTCTACCAGTAGAACTCTCCTACGTTCTCTTGTTTCTGTGAGCAGCTAAGGAAATCTACTACACGCTCAATGAAACATGTATAAGATTGATTCCAAACTATGCTGCATGCATTCTTTTAACTGGGACAAGTAGTCATATAGATCCATGTTGGATTCTCACACACTAATGAATTCAAGCACAATGCTTCTGGACCTCCATCTAGTTTCTTTTCTTACTTGCAGGACCTTGTTTCCCATTGATTACTTACTCAGTTACTTATATGATATGTACCATAAAGTATATGTTTACTAGTTCATCTTTTCTTATAGAGAGCTTTTCGGTTGTAAATATAACATTGTCGTTTATATCAAAAGGTGAAAAAATATATTAAAAACCAGAAAAATAGTAACAAAAAAAAAAAACATGTTAACCATGTCAGCACTTAGAGGAACTCTCTTTTATGAGGAGTTCAGATCCAAAACCCATAAAATTTGGACGTCCAACCCGCATCAGGATTAATATATCCATATTCAGGCCTTAAATGAGTTGCATGAAAACTGTTCGCCCAATTAAGCCAGATTCAGATTGTAAATGGTGGATTTGTTGACAATTGGATAATAGTTGGCTTTACTCATGATTCACTCCAAGAAATCTATACATCAAGGAATGGGAAAAGGAAAAAACAAGGGGAAATTATATGTAGTAACTAAAAGATATTTATTTATTAATATACTTAATTTAAGTCTTAACTTTCAAGAGGCTGTGGCATTATTTAAGCATGCATTTCATTTAGGGGGAATATAAGTGAATCTGATTAAATAAATCAAATATCAAATACAGATATACCTATATTCAATCCAAATTGAACCCGTTCAATATCCTTCCAATGACTCAAATATAAAATTGTAGCTGCTGCTTATCTGAACTTTAAACAAGAAAAATCTCAGAAACAGTAAAATAAATGCAATCATATGCTCATATTTCTCATCCCTAATCAATGTGATGATATTAGTCTCAGCATCTTTCATGAAACTCCTGAAGATTGTAAAAATGAAGATAAAAGGATAAAAAGTACTGGGTGACTCCTCTGACAAAGTTGATTAGAAAGATGCGTCAACCTGGAAAATATCTTCACAGATTTGCATCTGTCACACTAAATGGAAAAAAAAAATAAAAATAAAACTTTCACAAAACTCCTCATGGTTCTATTTGGTCATAGAGGACCAGGACTGCTCATTACTTTCTATGGCCAATGAGTGTTGAGAAGCTAATCTTAAAACAGAAAAAAGTCCTTTACAATGTTAATGTAGAGAAAGCACTCAAACAGAACTAGTGACTGTATTACAGAAGGTGACATGTATTTTCATTCTGTGAAAACTGCATCCAAAGTCAGGGAAACAACATTCATAGTTTAGCATCAATGCTTCAGAAGAAGCATTTTATGGGTAAATATGGAGAATGCATTGAAAGAGGACTAGTTGTTTTAATATACCAGATTAAGGAAGGGGAGAAATTGGATAATGACATGTATTTCTATGACTTCTATCCTTTGAAGCGAAACCCTGTGATTTCTCCATTTGGAACTATATCCCAAATCAAGGGGCAACCGTACAATATAGAACCAAAGCCCCAGTAGACCTATTTCGAGCCTTCGAGGAATATGGATCTTCCACAGTTGCACTTCTTGGAGCACACAATATGTAACATCAAATATGCATGCAAGTACCACTTCTTACGCATTGGTTGGAATTTGGGAATGATTTTAATGATAGATGTACAAGATGGGCTAACAGCTCTATGATGGGAACTAAAAAATCTATGTACGGAATCGGAAAGGTCCCATGTTTCAAACAATTCCAAGAGAACTTTTTGTAGACCACCGTGTCACTTGACAACAAATGTTGGAGAGGAAGATAGTAATCAAGGACTGCAATAGAAAGCTATCTAGAGAAATAAATAGAAAATACGCTGAAAGAGGGACTCTACTTGTTGTTGTTGGCTTGTCATTAATTGCTTGTGAGAGAATTTTACTACTTACCTAATGCTTACAAGCGGGTGTAAATATAAAGGCCTCTTTCAAAAATAATCAAGCTCAACATTTCTATGATTCATCAAGATCTCAAGCAAGGTTCAAAATATCGATACACCCAATATGCCGGTATGGGCGTATTAGGCAAATCGATACTATTTTTTAGTTCATTTTATTTTTTCTGAAACCGGTTCAGGGGGACCAATTTAGGTCTCCTCCATCCCCTGAACCGGTCAGACCCCCGATACACCCACTATAAGGGCATATTGGTGGGGTCCCAGAATGATAGACGGGCAGATAATTGTCGATACTTTGAACCTTGATATCAAGTACTGTACTTTTTCAAATACATACAAAACAATACAAAATACAAGGTTTTGCAACTACATGTAGTTGCATTTGTACTCATTTTGAACTGAGCCTAATATTCAGTACGTGGCACAATATATAATAGGAGTCAAAACGGTCAAGGCCCGTAATCAAGCACCTAATATAAACCCCACATGGTGAAAGTGAAACCACCCTCAGGATGATTCATTGTGCATGTAGGGAAATCTTTCATTTGGTGATGTTGCTTAATGGTTGGGATTTGGGAAACAAGTGCTGGTATGACTTCATCTTTCAGTAATCACCACCACCTCATTATTTTTTAGTTCAGTCTTAGTAGTTTGTCCTAACATAGGTCAAACAAAGGATACATCCATTTTTCGAAGCATTCGGCTCGTTCTAGGCTTTTTTGATTGATAATGCCACAAAAGATACCCGGCCACAACAAAATGAAAGATTGGAATAATAAGTTAAGTACAACCCTTACTCAAGAGCAATAAATCCTTAGACCTATTACTTCAGTTTACCTGGCCCTCTTGACATTACCATGGATTGTAAAAAGAACAATATTTTTATTGGTACATCCAAGGGGCCAATATCCATCATCAATGAAGTTGGGCATTTTTCCCTATATAACAAAAGCATTATAACATCGTCTCACAACTGAATCATGTGAAACTCGACTTTAAACCTTTAAGTAATGCAAATTCAACGCGAACAGTGAGGTAGAAATTTCATTATGGAAAAGACTAGTAGGATTAATATGTAAAGCTAAACTTGCTGATCTGTTTCATATTCATAATATCATAAATGCTTGACTTGTTATTGATCCTGCACCAGCCACATAGGCAAAGTAGTGTGCTTTCAAAATGGATACAGAGATCTATCAACTTTGGGAATCTTTTAATCTTTCATCATACATAGGCAAAGTAATCTTTTAACAAGTATAATAATTCGTGTAAATCTATGATGCCAATAAGGTACGATGTGGGAAGAATTTTGACCAATCAAAACCCCATGAGTTTTTATGAATACCAATTAATTGATTACCATTTTATGATACCAACTGATTAATTACCATTTTATGATACCACGAGCAACATTAATCATTGGTTTGCCCCTGTATTATATTTGTTTTTTTATCAATTTTTGCTATTGTATTTTATGCAAGGTTCATAATATCGATACACTACCAGGTTTGTGCACATGCTCCCCTTTTTTCGCTCAAAATCTCACAGGGGATAGGTCTTAGGCTCACCTAACCCCTGAATGAGATTTCAGAAAAGCCTTTAAAAAGGCATATCGGCCACCTGCCAATACGATACAGTATGCCCAATACGGGCATATTGTAATTTTGAACCATGATTTTATTCCATATATTTTTCCTTACATGATGATACATCAACTTTAGTGGTAAACTTAGAGGAAAGTAGGGGTTTATGGAGGCCCTTGACAGTTCACCAATATTTAGGTTCCATTCCTGGGATTTGTCATGGTTTTGCAATTTTATCTGTTTCCTAAGAAATGCTACCAAATCAACTGTTAATGACAACTTATGCAGTTCCATTTCTCCTGCTTTACTAAGGCTCTGCAATTTGTTTGTTTGTTTGCTTCTTTGTTTGTTTGTTTGTTTTATTATTATTATTATTATTATTATTATTATTATTATTATTATTATTATTATTATTACTATTATTATTATTATTATTACTATTATTATTATTATTATTATTACTATTACTATTATTATTATTATTATTACTATTACTATTACTATTATTATTATTATTATTATTATTATTATTATTATATCATATAAAAGAAACAGAATAGTAGTAGCAAGGATACGCGGTAATGATACAATTCTTGTATGCCTTCTGTTTGAATCATCTGCGGATGCAGGGAGCAGCTTTAGAGCTCGGTAAGATTCTGATTCCCTGAACAAGATTCAAGAATAGTGTCAGCAACCATAGAAATAATTGTACCTAAGATTGAACTAAAGTGGCTTCAACAAATAATTGGAAGCATACCTGCCAACTTCTGAACTTCCAGAAGTGAGAGAAAGAATCTGCCCCTGTAAAAAAAGCAACAAGAATCAACTTCTGTAACAAAGAAACATTGATAGAAGGAAACATTTAATACCCATAAAATGAGCACAGGAATATCGACTTTTGTCACCTGCACCTCATCACTGAGAATTTCACCAATCCTGCACATGTCCAACATTTGAGAAATGGATCAGAGAGAGAGAGAGAGAGAGAAAGAGAGAGAGAGAGAGAGAGAGAGAGATCACGAGATATGAAAAGCATGCCTCTGATTCCTGATTATTTCTTCGTGTGCTTCACCATTGGAGATCACGGAAGTTGGTTTCTTCAGAGCTTGGCTTCTCACAAATAGTTTGCTCCATCTTGATAACAGAACCCTTGCCCTGTTTGATATGTCTGATCTTCAAATCAGATAAATGAGTTTCAAAAGGCCATGCTAGGAACTCAAAATGATGAACTGGCAAACAGCAAGAAAATGACTTTCTTCCAGAATAAAAGTATATCCTCATCACGAGAATTTAAAAAAAAAAAATGAAGCAGTAGTTCTCAAAAAAGTTTGAATTTCACAACAAGTGGACAGTCAAGTGCTCGAGGCAGGGTCTGGGGAAGGACAGATGTACGCAGCTTTACCCTGTACACACAGAGAAGCTGTTTCCAATTGAATTTCACAACAGGTAATAAATCAAAACCTCAAAAAATCAATATTAGATGCTATGTGAGTTTTATGCTTATTATATCCTTTCAATGGTAGTTTCATGTTCAGAATGATCACACTACTAGATCTTTTAATTACTGAGTTCTTTATCAAGGAAGACTTCTAATGGAAAGTTTTGCAGCATCATATTGACCCTTAATTGAGTTCGGAAAAATCAACCATGAAATTCCAAACTCTGTCTCTACAGTAGGCATGCATGTCTCTAACAAGTGAAAGTGTCCGAGACAGCAGTAAATGGGATGTCCAGTGCCCTTGTTCAATCGTTAGAGTTCCAGACAAATCAGAGTTCACCCTATTATGAAGTAGCACAAACAAATGCTGACATGATCCTAGCTTTTTGAAATAAAATGCTCAACTCCAGTTGCTGCCATCACAGTGGCTTACCATTTCCAAATTGCAGGCTATATGGTCCTCTGAAGATGTATAAATATCATCAAGCACATATAAGACTTCAACTTGGAGATTACAATTGAAAGTATATGGTAACGTATCCCCTTCCTCCTCTTTACCCATAAACAGACAAGTGATAAAACTTCCTCACACTTTAGATAAATACCAAGTTCCTGGGAAACTTCCTTTCCTGTTCTTGACCATAATTCTTCTCTATTGTTAATCAGACAAAATACATTGATATAAACCGTCATTTATCCAAGAAAAAGGAATGAAATCATGATCAATATCTCCAGGATGGATTTTGTGCATACAGAAAAATCTCCACGCATGAGATTATACATATGCTTCAGCAGAAACTCCAGTACGTGTTCCTGCTATTCATTTTGAAGTAGCTAGCTACTGCATCAAGTATCACACTATTGACAACTTACATATTTGAGGCAGAGATATAGCTAAAAAAATAATGCTTTCGGACAACAGCCATTATCATCCATTCCTTCCTAGATTATTGCCAAATGAATACACACACAAAGTTTAATCTCTTTCCAACTCCTTGCCCAACTTCCAACCCCCAAAAGAAAAGGAAAACATTCTTAAATTCAATTAAATACTCCTTGCGCTTTTATATCAGCAATTTATAAAACAATAAGCTAGAGCAGCAATCCAACCCAAAGCAATCGAGACATAAATCTTTAAACTGAGAACATACCTGATGTCCGGTAAAACCGCAACCTGTTAACAGTTTGCAATATAGCCGACATATGCACTGGCAGAGCTTTATGTAATGGAAGGTGACAAAGGACCTATAAAGAACCATTATAATCTAGCCTAAGATTCATACCAGTTGAAGGGTTGAAGCAAATAGTGAACAAATAGGATAATAAAACATGCACCTTCAAAATGACAAGAAGAACAGTGGTTTGTTCCTCCAGAGCTGCTTGGCTCAACCAGGTAGCCAATATCATTAGACCATCTTTAGTTAAAAACCTGAGAATATGACAAAATTCAGTTGCATCAAGCAATAGAACAGGTGCATCTTTATTTCCCAAGATCAGAAAAGTGATATTTTAAGTACCAATATAATACTGAAGAATTTTGTATCTGCAGTATCCACTCCATCAACTTCACCTGCCCAGAAAATGTTTCCTCTTTCCTCATCAAATTGAAAATATTTTCAAGGAAATTTTTATCAGAATTGTCTATGTCAGGTATAGTTTCATCCTGTGATGAGCAAGAAGGAGCTTCTTCAACAGTTTTAGGGTCCACAGAGTTCAAAGGAACTGGACTAATAGGCATGACATGATTGGAGTTGGTGGAGCATCCATCATGAGATGCCATGCCGGCATTAGACCTAACCACTTTTTCCTTTGACAACTGGACAAGCTTCCTAACCCTCGAACGCTGACCGGCAAAGAACTCTCGAACCTGTAACTAAGCAACAAAATATGGATGTGAGCAATCTGATTATTTAATCTAGTAAATCTAACTTTAAAGTGTCAAAATTGAAGAAGTGATGCAACCCTAGAAACAAGATCAATCTTCTATCTTCCACAGTACAATAAGCAGATCAAAAAGCAGGAGATAATATAACTCAATGGAAAAAGTATAGTCAAAGGCAACTATATTTTTGGATGACAGAAACATATTACAATGTAAAGAAAATCCTCCTAGACCTTTTTCATTTAAAAAAAAAAAATTGTTATTGAGAAAAGTTACCTTTATCTTGAGGCATGTTAAGTAGCAAGTATTCAATATAATTGCTAAAGATGTTCTATAAACAACATTCCATACAAATTGAAGAAAAAAAATCATTATTTGCGAACAAGAGATATATGAAAAATGAGAATATGCTTATTCCAAACCCCAGGAATTTAAAGCTCTAGCAGCATAAATGAACATCACTCAGAAAGCAGCCCAAAATGTCAGCTGTTAAACCAAAACAAACAGATAAGAACGTTAAAAAGAACCAACAACCTGCATGACTGTAACACCACAAAGTGCACTGATCTCACGTGATTCCTTCTTGCTAATTGTATCTTTTATAGAGAAAAGTGACTGCATATATTTCACAGCCTTGGGGTTTAGCAAATCCCTTGGTCTTTTGCCTGTAAGAGAAAACGAGAACATAATTAGGTCATGGCTAAATACATTTTTTTTATAAGGTAAGGTAAAGTTATATTGAAAACCCATAAAAGAAAAGCAAAAAGTATACAAATGAAAGTGAGAGAAGCAAAGTATATGTGGAGGGAATAAACAATACAGGAGATATAGAAACAGCGATATGACAGGAGGGACTCGGGAAGATCAAATCTCTTAAAAATACAATAATGCAAAAAAATAATAATAGAGATCAAGTATGAAATTTTTCCAAACTAAATGCAAGGCATTTAATGGAACCATATAAAGAGACTCCATCAAAAAAAGGAATAATATAAAAGAGGAAAAGTTCTTAAGCATCTTACCTAAATAATCATTTTGCTTTACAGAATTTCTTTTGATCAGTACCAATCTCCAGTATTTTATTAAAAGTAGAGGATAAAAAAGTACAAAAGGAAGAAGAACATAAAGAAAACTAATAGGTAAGCCTTATATAATTTATTTCTTTAATCTAAAGACTCTAAATTACTTTCATAGTTGGAATGACTTGAAAAACAACAACTCCCAAAAAATAGCTTCTAAAGTTTACTTTTTGGCCAATTACAAGATTGGCATAAATTTCTAGTAAGGAAAAAGCTTCTAAAACAAATACCAAACTAGGCATCCTAAAACCTAAGACTACTAGATCTGTAATTTGAAAAACTCAAATAACCTGAAAAATAGAAATCACACCACAGGCCCATTGGCTGTCCCCAAATCAGCTATAACTTGATCAAATCTGAATCATACAATCCAAGTCTTGCTGGATAGGCATTTGAACAACCTATATAATGGGGCTTAAGTAAAACAGTAAATTTTTTACCCTTCAAATTTAGGCCACAAATTGAGTGATAGACCTGAGACACTTTTTCTCCTCAATCTATTGAAAATAACAATCTTGAATAATTTGTCACACTATCAATGTTTTCTTTGACCAACAAACTTGGAGAACTTTTAGAAATAATTTTCCTTGGCTGGATGCTAGGAGATTTCTAGAAACAGCTTCAAAGTTTAAATATCAAAAAACACCTAGTATATCACAGTTAAACTTCTCTATTGTGAGAAAGAAATGCTTGGAGGAGCATAAATGGATAAACTTTGACAGGCAGTCATCCAAAACATGAACAGAATATAGTAGCAATAGGTCAACTGAATTTGTTGATACATTTCATATGGTTAAGACCAACTGAAGCACCAAATTTCATTCTCTGCATAATATCCTCTTAGTTCTATTGCACACAATTATTTTTGGACACAATTTGTAACATTAAAAAATTAAGTCATAATAAATCAAAGTCCTTGAAAAAATATCCTGAACATCCATTGAGAATTAACTTTCACAGTACATTTGTTATCAAGATCCTAAATGCTTCACAGCTTACCAATTTTTATCGACAGTGCACCAGCTGCCTGTACAAATTCCAAAATACAAAACCAATGAGTTACAACGTTCAAATTGATTGGAAATTGGGAAAAAAAGAGATTTCAACATTCAAAACAAACACATTATCATGATATAAAAATTACAGAAGCGTACTTTCATAGAGACAAACACATAAATGTTGTTAAACATATCAGTTACAGATTATGAATTAGTCACCCAAGGTGGTGAGACTCATCTTGTATGCCCTTGATGTGTGTTGACAGAACCACTATGTGCGTTATAGGACATCCAGGAGTGTACAACCTAGGTGCCCCGACACTTCAAAGCACCTAGAGGTGACCAGACTCACCACGGTTCACTATAATGTATAACAAAATATTAATTATATTTAGATCACAAGACAACCCTAATTGTTTCAAATTCCATTTCTTTCTTCGTCATGCATTACTACAAGTCATCCTTATTTGTTAAAAGATGAATTATTTCATATGCTTAGAGAAACCACATCTGGACGAAAAAAAGTTAGAATGAAAAACTATAGTTTACTGACCCGGGTTAAGCAAGAAATTCCATCCATAGCATGTTCAACTGGTCAAGATAGAATATTATTTGCATATTTTGGCCAGATGAACTTCCAAAATCAGCAGGCAACTAAAGGTAGAAAGAAATCGACCATATATTAATTTTCAAATTCGCTTCTAATAATGCATAGCCATTTTCACAACCAGGTGATGATGCTAAATTGTCAGACTACAAGTACTGAAAATACTGAAATTCAAACAGAGAAACCTCAGTTCTAATCAATACCTAAGCTTCCTGCTTTTTCACATTGAATTAGAAAGAGCGGTTATTCTACTCCAGAAGAGAGAGGGAGAGGGGGGAGGAAGAATGGGAAGGATAACAACAAACGCAAGCGGGTATCTACGAATCTATAAAATCGAGCACTCTAATTCATTGTAAGTTGTGATTTAATAATGTCAACCAAAACCCTAAAGATGAAACCCGTACCATCTCTTGAGATAGAGGATTGGCACCCGTGAGTTTGCATTGCCTGACCACAATCTTCTGAAGCTGATCGATTTGCTCGTCGAAAAGCTCCTTCTGAGATTCTACAAACATCTGAAAAGTGTTCGTCGAATTCTCCATGCAAGCCTCCATTGTGAACCAGAACCATGAAAATTGCAAAGCAATATATCACAGATCAAGGGATACAAGGTATGATTCCAAACATTAGAACTTCACTTAATGGAGAAGAAACCCTAATAAAAAGCTTTAGCCTCCGGTTCGAAAAGGGGTGGAGGGGGGAGAAATCAATCAAGCATAAGCTTGCGCAGCGTTTTCTTTACAAATGCACCACTTCAGAGAGAGAGAGAGAGAGAGGTGCCGGTGCGAACTTGGGTTGCCGCGCGCGAACCTCAATCCACCTCGCGAACGAAAAGCTCCACGCACGTTTACGAAAACCTATTTATAGCAACTTACTGGATAAAAAATGGATCTGGGTGGAATTGGAAATGACCTCGAAAGCCAGTGTGCTTTCGATTTTTTTTTTTTTTTTTGATTGGATTTTGGGAAATAAAGATGTTACTTTTGATTGGATTTTGTGCGGAGGAGTTCTATTTCTGATTTTTTTTTTTGATAAAGATTTATTTTTCTGATTGAGTTGTAAGAAAATTACCTCCAGGACACCCAATCGGCGAAGGTGTTTACTTTTGATTGGATTTTGTGCGGAGGAGTTCTATTTCTGATTTTTTTTTTTGATAAAGATTTATTTTTCTGATTGAGTTGTTAGAAAATGACGTGTGGATCATCATAACTAGCGGGGATCCGATGCACGGGATTTTGTAAAAAAAAGTAAAATAATACAGTATTTTTTAAATAATATTAATTATTACAAATTAAGAATAATAATGCAATTGTAAATACTTCTAATTAAATCATTTATAGTTTGTAATTTTATGCTATTTGTAACATAATAGATATCACTAATGTATTTTACATTAAGCTTTCAAAGGCCATAACTGACTTGAACTAAGTGTTTATTGGTGGAAAGCGCGCCTGAAAATCAACTTGAAATGGAGAAGAGTTATCCAAGTCGCATTTCATAATTCAAGGAAGAAGAAAAACGAAAAACAAAGAAAAACCACCCTAAAATGAAAAAACAATGTATTTCAAAAGAAAAATGAAAAACACATAAAAAATGAAACTTATCTCTCCAACTTACTATAAGATGAAAAACAAAAAACAAAGAAAAAATTACTAACCTAAAACTTGTCTCCAACTTTCTTACTACTAATCCGTAAACCTCTTCAAAACTTTATTTCCAACGTACTTGAAACTATTGAAATAGGATTTATCTCCAACGTTGTCATAGAGTTTACTTTTTGTGAACACAGTACAGAATGATAAAAAAACTAAAGAATGATATAGAGTTTACTTTCAAACAATAGGATTTAACCCCCAGAAAAATAGAAAACATAATCTAAAACATACCTGATATGTGTTCACTGAAGAACGATAAAAAACTAGAGGATGTGGCTTTATTATTCTGTGTTCACCGATCTCAGATTTTTAATGTTTGAAGTGGCTTTGTAACTTTGAGTGAGATGCATTGGAAGAAGATAAAGAGGAGTTTGGAGTATCCTCGAAATAAAAGCCTGTGGCAGGAGATGCATTGGAAGCCCAAACGCCTCCTGCAAAATAGAAAATTCAAAATTCTGAGAAATTAGGAAAAGGGTGGGGGAGAAAGGAGAGAAATTGACATGGCATGTCCAATTATAATATATTATATATATGYATATATATTAATTTATGGAAATCATCATATTTTCATAAATATACTGGTAATTTCTTGGCTAAAACTAATTAAATATAATTACCTAATAATTACGTTTAATTTTATGCTATTTTTAATACTGAATTATACTAATGTTAATTAATTAAATGTAATTTTCTGGTAATTATAATTTATAGCTTAACTTACAATTACTGTTAATTACAATAATCAGTGTTAATTACTTTTAATTAAAAATATATTATTTTTTAAAATAATGTATTTATTAAATAGTGTAAATCAAATAATGTATTTATTAATACTGTAATTATTTATATGTAAATAAATGTAATTTTTTTAAAATAATTACTGTTTATTAGAATTACTGTTAATTATTAAATTACCAAATGTTGATTTTTGTTAATTATATAAATAATTATTGTTAATTATAGAAAATAATTACAGCTAATTTTGTGATAATCACTGATTTTATAACTAAATAGTGTAAATTAAATACTGTATTCAATACTGTTAATTAATAGATACAGTATTTGTTAGAATAATGTTAATTATTAAAAATTATGAAAATACTGTTAATTATAAAAAACAATTACTGTTAATTTTCTTTTTTTGAAAATACAGTTATTTAATAAATATATTTTTATTAAATTACTGTTAATTAATAAATACAGTAATTATTAATACTTGTAAGTAATAAACATTGTAATTATTTAAATGTCGTTAATTGTATTTTATTAAAAATTCTGAAAAATACTGTAAGTATAAAAAATATTGTAATTATTAAATTACTCTAATTAGTAAATACTATATTTAATAAATACTGTTAATATTAACAGTAATCAATTATGTTGTATTAACAATAATTAATTCATTAAAAGTAATTAACAGTAATTAATTGTTGTTAATGTTAATCAACATAATTGATTACTGTTAATTACTTTTAATTAAAAATATATTATTTTTTAAAAGTAATGTATTTATTAAATAGTGTAAATTAAATACTGTTAATTAAATATTTTCATATTTTCAGAAACATAGTTACATAGTTTTTGGTTGTTTTTTGAAAATACTGTTATTTAATAAATACATTGTTTTTAAATAAATAATGTAATTAACAAAATACTGTATTTGTTAAAATTACTGTTAATTAATTTAATATTGTAATTAATACTGTTAATTAAGAAATACTTTATTTTTAAATAATGTTAATTATTAAAAATTATAAAAATACTGTAATTATGAAAAGTGTTGTAATTAAAATAATACTGTAATTATTAACGTCAACCAATAAATAATACTGTAATTACAGTATTTATTAACGTTTGGACGTTAATTATCTCACAACCAATCCACGTAATCAACATTAAATTTGTTGACGTTAACAAATACTGCAATAATTACAGTATTTATTAACGTTTGGACGTTAATTATCTCACAACCAATCCACGTAATCAACATTAAATTTATTGACGTTAATTATTGTTAATGTTAATCAACATTAATTATTGTAATTAATCGTATAATGGACGGTTGGTGCGAACCGTCCTAAAACGGTTGGGGTTCAGACATACCCGATATTCTGTCAAAAACGAGTTGCGAAAAACCTGTTTTCGTTGTTTTCTTCGCCCGACCGTTGAAACGGGTTCTACGATGACCCGGTTAACTTTTTTCATTTTTTATTGCATTTTTTGCTGTTTTCTCTATTTTTTAATGAGTCGATTTTATTTTTGATACTCAGCATCAGAAAAACACTTCATAATTCACCCGAAAATGCAAAAAAAAAAATCACCTAATCAAATCTGTTTTTTCACAAGAAAAAAAAAAAGGAAACAAATACGTACCTAGTCTATGCAAGCAAATTAGAGAATTGCTGAGATTCTTCTTCCAAGCTAAATCACATATGCTCAAGTGAATTCGAATCTGATACTTGAATAAAGTCAGACAGAAAAAGAAGAAAAGAAAAAACATGCATGGGAGTCAAACGGTTTTTGTAGAAAAACTTGGAAGTCCAAAGTTCCTAGGCTTCCTATAAGATAAGATTTAATGGCAGACATGGGCGGGAGGGGCTTTGGAAGTCCAAACGTTCCCAATAGGGTTTCTTGCAAGGAGAAACCTACTGACATGGCAGGACCGTTTATATATATATAGAGAGAGAGAGAGAGAGAGTGAGAGAGGGAGAGAGAGAGAGATTGGCGTTTATTGTATATGAAACCATAGTGTTTGGTATGGCTTTCATTTGGTAAATTTGTTTATTCAATAAATATGTGTTTGGTTCCTGTTTATGTTTGGAATGGTCGAGGATAACACTATACTTCGCTTCCAGGATAAGTTGGCAGATGGAAGAGTCTGAGGGGTGCTGAGGCTGAGGACCTATGGGGTCCGTGGGGTGCCGAGGCCGAGGACCTATGGAGAAGGGAACGTTAGAGGCCCCAGGCGCTAGCCCGAGGCGGGGACTCCGATGGTCAAGTTAGTGAGGGCATAGCAAATAGGGCAGACGAGGCCTGAGTAGAGTAGCTTAAACGAGGTCGCCTATGAGCTAGAGAGCTTGGAGTAGTGGGCTTCCAGCCCAGGTTCCAAATGATTACCTTAATACTTGAGACTGCCTAGAGGTAAACGGGCGCGGACGATCAGGATGCGATCTGGCCCAGGGAGTGCAACCATCCGAGGTTGCCGTGTGTGGCCACGCCATTGGTCCCGCAATACGCACCGTCCTTAGCCGCATGTTGGCATGCTACTAGTCTGCCTAAAGGGCCTACATCATTTGCCCCTCACTCTCGAGTCTGCGGTGGAAGTCTTGGCTAAGGACCTCGATTTTCGGGTGAAGAGAGTGTGTCATCCTTGCTAGGAGGTGCCGAGTGGTCTTCTATGGCGAGGGTCTCGGCTATGGCTGAGTTGGTGAGAACAGTCTTCTGGCATGGAGGTGTTGGCCTCGATTTCAGAGGGCTACTGAGGCCGGGGACCTATGGAGTTTGTCCAAGGTTGGCCGGGGCCGAGGACTGCTAAGGTTGATGACTTGTGGAGCCCGAGGGTTGTTGAGGCCAATGACCTATAGAGCCTAGGGATGCTAAAGCCGACGACTTGTGGGGAGCCTGAGGGCTGTTGAGGCTGATGACCTGTGGAGCCCGAGGGCTGCTGAGGCTGATGACCAATGAAGCTTGAGGACTGTTGAGGCCGATGACCTATGGAGCCTGAGGGCTGCTAAGGCCAATGACCTATGGAGCCCAATGGTTGTTGAGGCCGATGACCTATGGAGCCCGATGGTTGATGAGGTTGATGACCTGTAGATCCTGAGGGCTGTTGAGGCGATGGCATGTGGAGCCCGAGGGCTGCTGAGGCCGATGACTTGTGGAGCTTGAGGGCTACTGAGGCCAATGATCTATGGAGCTCGAGGGCTGCTGAGGCCGATGACCTGTGGAGCCAAGGGCTGCTAAGGCCGATGGATGACCTATGGAGCCCGAGGGCTGTTGAGGCCGATGACCTATGGGGCCCGAGTACTATTGAAGCCGATGACCTGTGGAGCCCGAGGGCGGATGAGGCCAAACACCGTATTTTGCATGAGTACGAGGTGCGCGTGCCCCCAGTCGTGTGCTTCAGATTAGCTGATGAGTCCGTGTGTGGGTCAGGCGTCTGTCGAGAGGTTGGTAGAGGGGGCCGCCGAGGGGTGTGGCCATTGTCCAAAGTGACGATGCTCTGTGCTGAGGCGATGAGGTTTCAACCGAGGAGGGGTGCACGTTTATCGAGAGGCAGGCAGAGGGGGCAGCCGAGGTGTGGCCTCTGAGG